TATATATATAATATGCCAGATATTGATAAATTCCTGGCAATTTAATTATTCTATAAAATCAAGTAATATGCACAAAAATATTTACATTTTAAAGCAATCTAAAATAATGAAACTGTGTTCCATCCAAAGATTATTCTTGAAAATGATTATGACAATAATTTGCAGAAAAATACGATTGATGCTTGAATGAAAATATTTATACTACATTATGATTCCATTAATTCGTTGAATATTTTGTCTAAGTTAATCAGTCTGTGGCAGCTACTTCTAAACTTAAAACATGATATAACAACATGATGAACTGATTAATATTAGAATTTTCTACAGTTGACAGACATAACTGATTTTTATATATGCCAGATTATATCTTAATATAATATTAGCCTACAGCATCTTTTCATAATTGCTTGCACGTGCATCATATTTGAAATTATTTATTGACTCTATATTGATCATCCAATAAAGTGGAACATCAAATGTAGGTTGCAGATTAGCTATATTCATATTCTTCCCATTTACATTAAAACATATTTCAAAATTTTGTAAAAGAGAATAGTGAAATGCAAAATTGAATAATCTCTGGCAAAAACATAATTTATTAACTAAAATCCAATGAATGAAAGTATTATGATTTCAATTTCTAAATGAAAAGAGTAGTATTAGTTATATGGCACGCAAGAAGGAGTTACTCGAACACTGCTTTGCATCATTATATATGAATATTATACATTCATCGCATCATATGGACTTGTTAAAATAAGAAACAGGAACTTAAGTCAAAATTGATAAATAGAATTTGTTGAAATCATTACATAAGTGCTCTTTGAAATCATTTCATGAGAAAATCAAAAAATCAAATATAAAATTCCAATATCAATTTATCTGTGCAGTTTTAATTACATGAATATGAATTCTGATTGAAAATTATCTTCAAACTAATTTTATTTTTTGTTATATAATTTGTTCAGTACTTTTATGCAATTAACTATATTGTTCATAATTCTATATACGAACTGCATGGAAC